CACACACACACACACACACACACACACACACACACACATTTATTTATTTATTTTTTTCCCCGGAATTTTCAGAAAAGTCCACTTTCATCTCTGACTTTATAAAAGTCCATTCCAGAACAATTTCTGGCGCCATTATAGGCTGCAGTACCAAATAATATCAGCTATTCAAATTGTATTTATTAATTTTATTTTTTTGTGTACATGTGCATTCATTCTGCAGGTCAGACACCACACCATTGCTAAATAACTCCACGCAGGACAGGATGTTTGACACCATGTCGGTGGAGATTGAACAGCTGCTGGCCAAAGTAAGTGCATTACCAGTGTCCTTCAAAATTATAGTGTGATGAGAAAATGAAAGTGTGCAATGCAGTTGGGGGGGAAAAAAACATTTTGCAGCAGAACCATTGTGTACTAATTACTACATTCCAGAATTATTATAATTTTCACCCTTTTTACTTATTTTGTAGTTCATATTTTTTGAGTTAAAGGTATTCAACTGTATTTAGTTTGAAACTTAGCAGCATTTTTATTTATTTTTTGATAAAAAGAAACTTCAAATTAAACATTTTAAATTATTCTATACGCATGTCTCCCTGTGACAAATCAAATGTTCATCATCGTCATTGTGAATATACTTCTACTGTATCCCAGCCGTTAAGTGCGTAGCTTTTACTATATATCGTAAGCAACTGCACATCTACTGCCACACGCCTTTTGATTTTCTGGAAGGTTCTTTTCCTCATCCTCAGCCTTTGTTTTTACAAATGCATATATTTTTGATCACACTCTTGTCAGTTGACGGCGGTAAATGACAAGATGGCAGAGTACACCAATGGTCCGGGCACAGCTTCATTGAATGCTGCACTAATGCACACCCTCCAGAGGCACAGAGACATCCTACAGGTTTACCCACTCATTCATCATCTTCCATACTTGTACACACAAACATGCAAACACATTTTAATGGCATTGTTTCTTATCCTGTCTCTTAATTTTTCCATTCCAGGATTACACACACGAATTCCACAAAACTAAAGGAAACTTCTTAGCCATTCGGGAACGGGAAGACCTATTAGGATCTGTCAGAAAGGACATTGAGTAAGTAAACTACCGTAATTCAGAATATGTTGGTCATGGGCTACCATTGTGGAGACATATAATGTACAAACTCAATTCCAATACAGTTGGTTAAACTGGGATTGAGGGGTGTGCTCCAGTGAAAATGGCTGCCATCGAATGAGTTAACTCCATAAGTGTGTGTGTTCGTGTATTTTGCAATGCGACCACAGAAGTTGACCAGTGATAGAAAAGGGGAATTGTGTGATGATAGAGTCGAAGAACGGGAACTATGTGCCATGTGTCCAGCGTCCATGTCTCTGATCTGGATGCGCATTACAAAATGGATAAAGTGACAATTACAAATCTACAGACTGTCTGCTACAAAATACACTTGGATGGCATAGACTTGAGCCCACTCCGACCCTTTGGAGTATCAGCAGAAGAGAAAATAGGTAGATGCTTTTGTTGCAGCCGTCATTTGGCCAGACAGGGGGCAGGAGAGATCCTCTGATACAGTTTCCCCAAGATTTATGTGTAACAGTGCTCTTTTGGATTATAAAACAGCCACTGGCTTGTTTCTGTGAACAACGCAACAGTTTAGCAAACACAGCACAGTGTTCCCATCTTGGAAAATCTGTTGTGGGTTCAAATTGGAAAAGCAATTTTTGCACATGCGAGCACATAAATGTTACTGTGGTTGTCGCTATTCCATTTCATAAGAGCAACATGAAGCAGAGTTGAACGCGGACTACTGCTCCCGCATTTACTGTCAGCCACAAAAAAAAAAAAAAAAGACGACAGCATTGTGCCCTTTTAAAAAGCCTTGCCTCATCCCTGCTGCTTGGCTTGGCCCTACCACGGTGAGTGCATTATAACATTGTTGATCCATTTGACGCCTGTACTGGGAATTAAATGGATGCATTTGTTATACAGTGTCCACTTAATCATTTTATTTATTTTATATACTTTTTCCCGCCCCCTCACTTTGCCTTTTGCGCTTTATCTCATTCTTTTCTCCATGATAGGGTGGGGCTGAATTAAATGACCAGAAACCAGCAAGAAGCTTAGTCACCAGATGCTGATAAATGGGCTGCATCAAAAAAATGGGTGTGGAATGTTCACTTTGCCACTTGTGTGGTATCCATCACATTCACGAAAGGGGAAACGGAGCCTTCTTTCTCATTGTAGGATGGTGCTGTTAAGTATTTACATGGAAGTACGTTTTTCTTTGTGACTTTGTAAAATGTCGTCTTCCGTTAACTGCTACGTGCAAATGTAAAATCCTCGTTTTGTGGTGTCCCTTGATGGAATCTTCTTGTTGTACCTGGTAGTTGCCCCAGTGATGCCCATCGGCAAGGGTTTTTGGGCATTTGTTAAACAGGTTTTCCTGGGTTCCCCTTCCTCAACCGAGGGAACGCGCGGGCGTTTCACTTTTACCCCCGACATGGAGGTTTGTGGGACTAGGTTAGACATTGCAGAGAGTTTGGACCAGGAACCTGATCCAAAGAAAGTTTGCTCTTCGGATGTTGGACAAGGTGATCTTTGTTTGTTGCACGTTCTCGCCATTTAGTCCGAGCTCCGTGCTGTCCCGTTCTCACAATCCTGCTCGATCGTACTTGTTTTAAAAAGCTCGCACAAACAACTGTGTGAACTGTTGCGGCCATTTACCATGCCTATGACTCTTTAGAATTTTTGCAGTGCTGCTCTCTTTAGAACCACTCATGCAAAGTCACGGCTAATGCAAGTGGATGTTTCCTCTCACGACTGCTTCACATTAAAGCCTTTCTACTGGTGAACCGCAGGAAAGCTTTTAATGTAACAGCTATGAAAGGAAATCCTGTGGTTTTGGTGCCTGCTATTGCAAAGATACCGGTTGACTCAGAAGTTAGGCCAAAACTCCCAATGATAATGCAAGATTGAGTTCCGGCTATCCGGTGCTCGAAATGTTGCCAAGCAACACTTTACCACCATTCCACTTTTTGAAGACAAGGGAAATGAGGGAAATGTTTTGAGGATTCACCCTGAAATATTCACAAAGTCAGAGCTTCAAGAAGCTTCTTGACTCGACCCCGAAGCGATTCGCATGCCGCTTTCCTTAATTATTCAAAGCGTCACCCTGTGGCAACAGGAAATGGCTCTCCGGAGTGTGACACTCAGCCTAATATGTCCTTGATAGTCTCAGAGAGATGTTTGGGGATTTCAACATCTGCTCCGTGCCTTTGACTTGGAGGACAATGCATCTATTTTGTCATCACCTAAAACAAGAAAACCAGTCTTCTAAGCCAACAGTTATAAATTGTCGCCTATATCTTAACCGGTATGGTTTTTTGTTTTTTTTCCTCTTTTAGAACGTATAAGAGTGGATCAGGAGTTAACAACAGAAGAACAGAGCTGTTTTTGAAGGAACACGAACACCTGAGAAAGTAAGTTCCCATCACGTGTGGCCTGTCAATTCTCTTATGTTCGACTACAGCTAGCTGACTTTATTGTAGGCCAGCTAGCTGAGGCAAGTTTGAAATCTGAAACAGTTGCATAGTTTAATAGAGGTTACGTTGCATCGGCCCACGCCGCTGATTCTAAAGCCCCTGGAAGCAGCGCAGTCAAGAGAAACGACACTACCAAATATAGGATAGACTTCATATAATTTCATGGAGCACATATTAGAATTTTGGCTGTAAATGTGGATTAGTGCATCTGGTCGTACAAAAGGTGAGATAAGGTAAGAAAACCTTTATTCGTCTCACAATGGAGGCGTTTCTTCCTCTGCGTGCGAGTCCAGCATATTCCATCAGGATTGTGTCAAGTGACATTTTCCCACTTAACCACAGCCCATATTACAAGGTTTCTTTCCCCTGACCATAGGAGGGAGAGGAGATAGAACAGTGCAGCTGTACAATAAGTTGCACTTCATTGATTGACACTTGATAATATTCGAGACATGGCATAGGCAATAATGCCTGAAGAAAAATGTTTAAAACGTCTGACTTTCACTTGTATTGCACCGGTGTGCACGATGAATCAGAAGTGGAATGCTTCACCGAGTATTTGTTTGAAGTGTTCTTGTAGCTCCTCACCTCGTTTTTGTGATATCATAAGTTGCGCATGGCGTTCAACAGATGAGCTAGATACACACTAATTTAAGAGACGTTGCACACTGATTCAATTTGCTCTAAGTGCTGTCAATCTTTGCGCCATGACCGGTGCTTCTTATCTGTGACTCACATTCGTTGTATCTGTTTTTCCATCTCTTCGCCATAAAGGTGGGTGTTGATAAATAAACTAGAGGGGCGGAGGTGCAAGAACAGCTAAAGGTCATGGTCACACAGACGAGGAGTTGCTGTCAAAAATATGCCATACTTTTGTGTGTTTGGTTTCAACATTGCTTTTGACGGATTGTCCAGGAAATGTACAATCGCTCTTGGCCCATTCAGGTGGACACTGTAAATCTGGTGATGCAATTTTAAAGGTTCATCTAAATGCAGGTAGTGTTCAATGTGGCACTGTTCACTTGAAACCTTCTTGCATCTTCCCCTCACAACGGCTTTTGTATGATTTTCCAAGTTTTCATTTCACTGCGGTAGAGGGAGTTGACAAGATGGTTAGTTTTCAGCTAAATTACAAACCGAAAGCCCACTGAACACTCGGGCTATCAATTTCTCCGTGGCCCCAACATGTAAATGAGACAACATTCTTCAGGGACTTGTGTGATGCATCGTTGTGCTGAGGATGATTGGTATCATTATTTCTTGATTTCTAGCCAAACAGCAGACTCTTGAAGGTAAAAGTTGAAGATGTTTCATGTCTTCGGCGATTTCTTGTGGCTCAAGTTCGATTGAAACGGGAGAGGCCTTTAGCATTTAATTGCTCTCAAAATGACATTAGTCTGGTAACAGAAACCACACATTAAGCGGGATGACTTCGAAGCGTTCTTGAAAGTGGGCTCATCAACCACGACGTACCGTCTTTTTGGTTTTGGCTTGTTTGCTTTACGAAAGCAACCAAATTGACTCCCATTATGTCATTCATTCCAGAGAGCTGGATGTTTTTTTAGAAACCTAATTTACAAAACTAGTGGAAATGTGTCTTGTTTTTACTGAGTATCCTTTCATGTTTGTTTCTATCATCACCAGCGTATGTACGCAAACAGGTCAGCACAGCACGCTGATGTGTGGACACACTAGCAAAGAACAGTGGGAACAGTCGACTTGATCAAAAAATCAGATATGCCTGCACTCTGAGCAGGATTGTAGCCACACAGTTTTCTAATTTAGATGTGAAAGCAAAAGTTTTGAAGAGCTCATTAACTGTGTCTCGGCATGTATGTGGAGGGTTTTCCTCTCTGGCTCCCATTTTAACACAATTAAATGTTCATTACTCCTGGTTGTCCGTACTAGAAATACTGTCGATGACCAATTTATCCATTTCTTTCATTCCATGTGTAGTTCTGATCGACTGATGGATGACACAATAAGGTAAGACTTTCCTCCGTTGCGATACTTAATTGCTGCTGTCACATCCAGGAATCGACACTGGCTAATTGTCACGTATGGATGAAATGGTTGTTCGTCGTCCTGTTTAAGAAAGAAAAACAAAATGGTCACTTCAATTGACAGTACTTTTTTTTCTCCTCACTCTTTGGCATCAAACTGTAAATGGTGACTGATTACAGAGAAAGTGCGAAAAGAAGCTTCAGCTCTAATTTCAATGCAGTCGTTCATATTGAAAGGAAGTGGATGGGAAGTTGCTGCCGTCGGCAAGTTGTTGGTACCTGACTGAGGAGAACACGATCCCCTTCTTGGTATTGCTCGGGGGACTTGACTGTCCCCTCAGCAGTGCCCGCCCCGAGGAAGGCACACGGCCTCGCACGACATGGCCTTGAAACGCTGCTCTTGAACGTTGCCCGCTCCCTCAATGGGATGGAAGGTGGTCTGCCGCAGCCCCTCCTTATACTCTTCATTCCTCCTAGCATACAAAAAAGCCTTAACAACAACTTGGGTTGCCTTGTAGGGAAGAGTAAACCAATAAATACAACACGCGGCCTTTTGAGAAAATGTTGGCAGGATGCTCCGTAGTTTTGTGTTGATTCATTTTCCACCTATCCATATCATTTGCCCTTGTCTTTGTAGCATTGCCATGGCAACCAAGGAGAATATGACGTCCCAAAGGGGCATGCTGAAATCCATCCAGAGTCGAGTCAACACGCTGGCCAGTATCCTTTTTGCCGTTGAACCGCTTTCCTTGCTTTGTTTTCAATCGGATCATTTGGTATTGTCCTTAATGCTTCGCTCTCCAAGACCGTTTCCCAGCCATCAACAGTCTCATCCAACGAATCAATCTTCGGAAGCGACGAGACTCCCTCATCCTTGGTGCCGTGATTGGCGTCTGCACCATTCTTCTCATGCTCTACGCTTTTCACTGAGTTTCAAAAAGCGGCGAGTCGGTCGGCTATTTGATGTGTAAGACCGTCGGGAAAACGGTTCGTGATTGAGGACCCCGGGAGACTCCTTAGCACACGGATGTAACGTCTGTCCAACAACAAGATCTTCTGAACTTATATCTAGCTGTAGGACAGATGGACAACATTACTGGTGGGTGGATACTTTGCCAGCTCCAGGATACAGGAAACAAAAGTACTAATAACTAGAAACTTGTATCATAATGCCCCGGAAGAGACACTGTTCTGTTGATGAACTGTTGGAATATGTGACCATGTTTTTTTTTTCTCCACATTGCAAAGATTTTTATTGGAATGATTCTTTTTAATTGATGTGCCAGTTTGAAATGGGTGTTAATACAAGTTAATAAATTATTCATATACATTTGTTGTAAAAATTAAGT